ATTGCTAAATCTAAAAGCTTAAAACTTTATACAAGTAATGATAGTTCGTTAAATAGTCTTGATTTTAACTCTTTTCTTTTAAATGATGATTTTAACAAAGGTGAATAAAAATTTCATTATTAATTAATTGGAAATTATTATCCATTAATTATTACTAACGATACTTATTTGATTGATTAATAAATACTAGATTCTAGTAATTAAGAGAAAGAATCAATGGGTGACTAATTTAATCTCCACTATAAATTTATTATTTATCTTTTTATTTTTTTATTTTATTTCTTAAAGTTAAATCATAATAATATTTTGAAATAATAAACTTTTTACAGATTCTTGTTAAATGGTAATATTGCCGATTACAGCTTAATTTTTGGACTACTCTTGTCAGTTAATTGCAAGCAACTCATAATAATTCGGTGCTTGTCAATTAACTAGTTTTACGAATTTACTTTGGTTCTCACTTGTTGCCTCTTCCTTGTTTGTAAGTACACTTAATGGTGCCGGATAACTCTAAATGAATAAAACGACTTTTTTACAAAGCTCAAAGGCTTCTATAAAGTTCCTTTTATTCGCTTGTGACTAATTTATTTCAGTTTATCTGTCAATTTGGTTTATTTACAAACATTTAGGCAGCTTGTTAACAGCCTTGCGTTTACTATTACAATAACACTACTGGTAACCTTTGGACAATACTTCACTAACACCCACTAGTTAACCAACGTTAGTACTAAACCCTTGTTTACCCACTAAGGCAAAAAACTTGGCTTTTTACCAAGACACTTATTCCACTTGTTGTTTTTATCAAAGTGCTTTAAACAATGATTTTGAGGGTTTTATTTTATTGGAATGTTAATTGTGCATTGATTTATTATTCAATTTCGTAGAAATGAAACCGAGTTTTATAAGTTGCGAAATTTTAAATTAAAAATAATAGAACTACTAATTTGTTTTTATCTTTATCTAGTTGGATATTAGATTTTTTTAAAAACACAAAAAGATCAAGAATTCTATTTTATATGAAAATAGAGAAATCGTATACAATAAGAGAGCTTTCGATAAAAGGAAACGAAAATATTTCTTTACATGGTAATTAAACAAATTATAAATATAAATCTTTGAGTAATAATAATGGTAAAATTAGTTGATAAAGTTTTTTTTATAACAAGCACCTTCAATTAAAAATGACTTTAGGTTAAACAAAGTGAATGTATGGCAAGGATTGTATGTTTTATATACAGCTATTGATTATATTTGCATAACTATAAACCATTAGGTTTCTTTTATCTTACTGTGAAACTTGGATCACCCAAAAAAACCAAAAATTGTAAAACTTTTCATGAGAGAGCAAGCCTCTTTTCAATTGAAAGCGACTTTAGGTTAGGATTATATATAACCATCAATAATTTTAAATGCTTTAACAATAAAGTAATTTAATCAATCAATATCGCAAAAATATTATAAAAAGCTTGTACACAACAACGCCTTCATTTTACTTGTAACTTTTGTGCAATTATAAAAGGCTTGCACAAGTATTTTACGCAGTTCATAATTTTGCACGATAACTTGGTAATTATGCACTACGCTTGCGTAAAGTTTTCATTCGAGTAAGAATTATGAATAATCTTCAAAGTGCAAGATATTTGCAAAAATTGCATACACATAATTTTTACGTTGCGTAGGTGAAGATGGCCGACGGCTCTGTGACTGCGGTAATACCACACGACATATCATCAAGACCAAGATGTTCATCAGATGGTATCACACCATCACAGCATTCGGTGTGATCCTCTTAGATTATGTCGTTATTATCGCTATTATTGTTATTATTATTATTATTATCAATAATTAAAATATATGCCATTTATCGCCCGCCTTCCCTTTAGTATTAATACGTTTAAATTCTTGTTTAAAATATTCCGGCAGGTTATTATCAAAGTCTTCACCGTCTGAATGGGTGTCACTAGTTGTAGCCTTTACAGCAAAAATATAACCAAACATGTTTGAAAGTGATATGTCAAAAATTCTACCACCAAAATCAAAAATCAAAAATTTTTTTTCTGGAATCAAGTCCATAAGCAATAGCCGCGGCAGTTGGTTCATTGCTAATTCTGAGAACATCAAGTGCTGCGATTCTACCAGCATCTCTTGTTGCGAGACATTGAAATATGCAGGAACCGTGATAACAGCTTTCTTTACTTTTTTTCCAAGTTATATTCAGCTATATCCTAGTAGTATACATATACATGTACATAAGGAATTTGTTGATATCAGATTTTGTGTACAAATATAATAATAATAATTATTATTGTTGTTGCAAAAGAATTATAATCCTATTATATGCATTCTGACCACGTTGATTGACCCATTGAGGATTTGGGATAATGATTAAAACGGGATCGCCCTTTTCTTCAACATCAGAGAGTTGTTTTATATAATTATATAATTGTAAATTTCGTTTTTTAGATGCTTTTGAAAAAATAGTTCCAAGGGCTTAAAAAAATTAGATTCTATTATAGAAGAGATTAAGAAGAAACAATTCTTGTCATTTATTTTTTCTACTAACCTTTTTCCAATCCTGGTTCTTGAATACCATAACAAATACCACAAAAAATATATTTTTGATAATATAAAACCTGATGAGAAATGATAATTGGTATGTCAGTATAAGTAGTTTTGTTGATAGATAAATCAGTTGATTATTTACCCCGACAATTGAAATCCACACGGGGGAAGTCATCCAAATTATAAAAAGGATAAAAGGCAAAGCAACCAACATGCAGCAACTAAAGCAATTGCATGCATTATATTAATAAAGAAAGGTGAGTTACTGCTTCTGATGTTTTGATGGTGAGAGAGGCAATAATTTATTGTTTCTATTCGACTCGTGCGTGATAATAATAGTTAAGTAAAATTTGGCTTCATATTGCTCATTCGTTGAGAAGAAAAATGTCGAAATCTTTGGAAAATGTTGTCCTAGTTAAACACTTTCATGAAAAGCACAACGCCAATGTTTTCCGTTACCTTCGTTGTCTTACTTCTTCACGTGCATGACGATCGGCGCCTCTGATAATTTTGCAAATTTATCGTTAATAGTAAGTAACGTGTAATTTATTTAAAAAAAATGAATAAATTTGTATCCAATGTAATGTAATTAAAAAAAAAGATTTCTACATGGAAGAGAGAAAATCTTCCAGAATTTGTTTCCATTTACTATTTTATAATGAAATCATTAAAAATTGGAGAGTTTTTATTATTATATAGTTTGTAATAATTTATTTTAATGCTGAAATTTATTATATATTTTTTCTAAGGTGAAATGAGTATTTCACTATTATTCAACGATATAACTATTTAATTATAAGCAACACAAACAAAACAGGATGAGCAGACAAATAATTAGATCATTTGAGATTTTATAGATAACTTTAATATTTGCATTTTAATTAGCATATTAAATTGATTAAATAATCAAACATGATGAATTTCAAAACTGCGGAACGATACATACACTGCTTTGCCTACACGGAAAAAAGAACAGGAAAGTTGATCTCATTTAATGCGATACATGCAGACGTTCTTGACCCCGTCATGGAAAAAACGTTGTACGATTTGGTCATGAAGTGTATGACAAACCCACCTATATAATTATTGAATAATAAAATGTTCGTTTGATTTGCAAATAGATCTTGATTTTGGCACGTATTCCTATATTTGAATAATTGATAAAACATTCATTAAATATATTTCGAAAATAACTTCACAGATCTTTCCTTTAACACTTATTTCAATTTCAATCACTCCTATATATATACAAAATATTGAATAATTGATAAAACGTTCATTTGCAAAACTTGATTTGCAACCTTCTTAGATCTTGTATTTAACACTTACTTTGATCACGCCTATACAAACTATCAAATAATTGACAAACGTTCATCATTATATTTTACAAACTTCTTTGGAAGCTTCATACATTGTCATACATCTTGTATTTAACAGTTACTTCCACAAACTCGCAACCTATCGTCAACTCTATATTTTTTTAGATTACACAATAAAAATTATAGAATTTGTCCAATGAAATGTTGTATGTAAGACTCATTTTTCCCATTACTAATACTCATCCCGGGGTACGACGAACCCATGTGACTCATTTAAATGTCCAGCAAGTTTATTTTATTTAGATAAAACTCATTAATTGATTGATTGATTACATTTATAATATATGATGATGATACATCATCAATTATAGCAGCAATGAATCATCATTTTTTTGAGAATGATAATAAATCAAAGTTTTTCATAAAATAGACTATTGTCTTGGCCTGAATGATATCATTTTTTTGCTTTTTACGACAAAGATGAAATCCAAACCCAACTTAAAATAAATGAATTTTTGTTCTCGTCCTCAGTTATAAATAAGCTTGTTATTCTTAAAATTTTACTATATTATTAAATAATAACTTGATATTACAATGCTATTATTATGTTTAAAAACTCACCTTTCCTTTTTAATATAATGCATGCAACTTTTTGTATTTGTTTCGGTTGCTACATGTTGGTTTCTATGCCTTTTATCCTTTTTATAATTTGGATGACTTCCCCCGTGTGGATTTCAATTATTGGGTAAATAATCAACTGATTTATCTACCAACAAAACCACTTATACTGACATATCATTTCTCATTTCTCATTTCTCATCAGATTTTATATTATCAAAATGTTTTTTTGCGGCATT